TATGAGCGTGATGTGGCTAATAAATCACTATTTTCATTTCCAAGTTCCAAAAAAAACCCAAGCAAAGCATAAATATACAATATGACTACCTTAATATGCTTTATCTGTGTAATTATGCAACCAACCCAATGGCAAATAATGAAATCAAAATAAGCGACTGACTGTAATAGCTACATGATGAACAACAAAGGCAATTTACTCTAGCTACATGCATTTGCAGTGCTAAATTCTTATCGTATACTGACAATCCACAGGCCTTAGTTCCTTAATGAACCAAAAACATTATATGCACTTGTAACCTACCCAAACTTCACCATATTACACTAAATTGTTATAAATATAAGTATTGAAGTTATACAATCTGCCTACAAGTTTTAAAGTGCTGAAACAACCGACATCCTGTTACTATTCTAATAGTTTGTGTAACCATGTGCTCATTTTTGGTGCACACCATTTTAACAGTTTACTTTATTCTCATTTTCTGATGACCAAAGTCTTTAGTAATGAAAGAAGAAAAAAAATCTTACATCCTAACCATGATAACCAAATTCTCTGCCTGGTTTAGCGTTAAAAAGCCTGTTAATACCAACAACACCTTAACATTGCAGGATTCATGTTCTATTAAGAACCTGTCAGGTTTACTTGGTGGTTTACTTTGAAGAATTTGGTATGTTGACATTACACTGTGCACCAAATGACCCCGAATTTTTCTCAGCGAGTAAAACATTCTCAACCCAGTCGCATAACTTAATATCTAGACTACACAAATCATTAGAACCTTATTGCATATACATACTAAATCGGGTTTAATTTTATCAACTTTTGCGAGCCTACCATATCAATGTAATGCAACCCGAATATCCTCTATACAGAACCTTCTCGCTGAGATATTCAGATAGAAATTGATATTTCACTGTTCTACACAAATCTGCAAACGAACAATAAATCAATATCTTTGAATCAAAACCCTACTCTGCATAAGTGACACAATATAAATACTCATACCTAAGTAAAATTTGTAAACCACATTTTGGAGCCGAAATGTTATTCTGATAAGGATAAGGCTAATAGCCGTTACTAGAGGACGCTTAAGTATAAAACCCGGAAAACCCTTCGGGACCCATGAATTCAAACAAATTGGTAATTAATAAAAATATGCAATTTATTACGTATTTAGATCACATAAATTCCTTTATATACATAAATACACTTATGGAATACAGTAAAATAAACTAAAGGTCAAATTTTTGTCAATGTCCGACCGACCGACTAGAATGTAATACTGTACATGTAGTATGACTAAAAATAATTTGAGCCTAGGAATTAACTTCTTTTTATTCATTCAGGAACACTTTTCATTCCGTCAACAAATTAACAGATTTTAATTGTGTCATTGATTTTAATAGATTCTGGATTGTTGAGGCCAGTTCAGATAAAAATAAAATATTGTGTTTAATGGCAATAAAAATGGCCTTTAATCTCAGATTCTTTTATGTGAGATTGAAATGTAAACCAATCATTAATTAGTTGCAATTGGTCACGTGTTTTCATATTTGAATTCAATAACAATATTCCGCTGGGGAAAAGGTTATGAAATCTTCGGAAATAACAAATAGCATTTAAGCTCAAAACTGCATTAAACATTACAAAATAGGGATTTTGTCATGATCGGGAAATAACGGAAAATTCGTCGAAACTAAGTGTGTACCTCAGTCAACATTTGACTCAAAGATAGTGTGTATATATTTAAACAAGACTGCATGTGTTCCCCCAAAGAAGAAGGGGTGTCCCAGAAATACAGAAAAATCCTTTTGAGATCATATGTATTTGAGATTTATAACTTTAAAACTAAAAGAAATTTAAATACAGGTCAGAATTGATGCTTAATTCAATTTTATTAGGGATATAGTTACCTGAAGACATTCACATGCGTAACCAGGTTGGTTATTGACGTTGTTAGTGCTGAGCTGACAGCTGATTTAGTAGATTCGTTAAACTGAGAGGAAAATGTTGTTTATATTTCTTTGAAATTTTTAAAGTATTATTTAAGAAATACGGTATCATTTTAAACATCTATCGGGATATAAAATTAATACGGGTTGGTCACGAGATTAAATTCCATAAAGCCCTCCGGCTATATGATGAATTTAATCTCGTACTAACCCGTATTTATAGCCCGAGAGATGTTTTAAAATGATACCTTATTACTCATTTTTACATTTGTGACTTATTCATATTTTATATTTGTCTGATTGTGACTTTTAAAGTATGAAATGCGTTATTTTTCAAACCAAACGGCATGTGTGTATCCACTGAACGCGCGTTGACCCTTTATGACGTCACAAAGAAATTACGTCGAATGTTTATCTATACGCACATCGATGACCTCTTGACCCCGTACCTGTATTTATACATTTATATATACGCATTGCTTTCAGTAGTATTATATAAAGGAAAACATTTGCAAATGTAAATATTGGGGAAAAAAAGAATGTGATGAAGTTAATTAATGTTTTGTATTATTTCCGTTATTGAATATGTAAATAGCAGGAATGTCAAAGAGTACCCTGTACCTTGATCTATTGGTACTCGGTTACTCGGATGTAGATTTTTGAATATTTCTATTTAACTTGTCCCGTGGGGATCCGGGTTAGAATAGGTCCTCAGTACCCCCTTGCTTGTCGTAAAAGGTGAGTAAATGGGGCGGTCCTTCGGATGAGACCGTATAAACCGAGGCCCCGTGTCACAGTAGGTGTGGCACGATAAAGATCCCTCCCTGCTCAATGGTCCTGAGTGCCGAGCATAGGCCCAAATTTGCAGCCCTTCACCGGTAATGGTGACGTCTCCATATCAGTGAAATATTCTGGCGAGGGACGTTAAACAGTATACAATCAATCAATCAATCTATTTAACTTATTCATTAATTTTTAAAAGCGTAAAATGTTTATTGCATTTGTACATACAGTAATTAAAGTTTCCTACGCCTTTAAATGACCGTTACTGCCAGGGGCAGTGTTTTTACAGTAATCATTGTGACCAAGCACCTGCTACATGGCTTTTCTCACCTTCGACTGTCTGCTACCCTTTATTTTTGGTTTGCTTTAATTAATGATTGTTTTCACTGAACATCGTATATATCGATTACAATTATTTTAATAAATTAGATAATTTTGTCATTTCTCCAAGAAGCCGTAATTTCTCAGGAAAAGAGACAGATGATATTACACGTGCAATTGTTGATATGGTTGTGTTTGATTACATGCAAATGTTTGAAGGCAAAGGCTTTAAAAAACTTATATCCATCGTTGCACCAAAGTACAACTTGCCGTAATACTATAACATTAAGGAACGAAAACGTGTACAGAGATTGTTAATCCGTTCTGTTAGGCTAACTTGATCAAGTTGATACTGTAGTTCTGACGAAAGGTACTTTGATATGAAACGCAACACAAAGACATTAAAGACATTAAATAACATTAATTACCCAAGGCAGAAAAACATTTCTCGCATAATCACCAGTGTAAGATTGACTTGTCCGGTGTGAGACAGCAGTGTGAGATTTTTCTGTCTTACACTGTGTATTACTACGCCACGAACGAGAATGTAAACATTCCGTCATTATATAAAGAATTTTAACAATGTAAAAAAATATAACACATAATTAAACTGTTGTCATATAACTTATTAATATAAACTTATTTTCATTCAAAATATTGTCGTATTTTCAATTTTTTAATGGCACTATTTTTAGATCGCGGAGTGATTCTTCTTTTACGCTGTCGGATATATAAGTTTTTTATTCCCAGTTTTTATCTTCCTGATTAATTCACACGGACTGAAAATTATTTTATCAGTTTACACATAGTGTAAACCATTTTCAGGTACGTTCTCTCCGATGGTGTATTCAGATTTTTAATTAGATGGAAAATTAAAAATATTTTTTTAGCCCCATCATGGAGACGTCATTGACAGGCCGTTATTTTGGATACAATAATGCGAGAAAAATAATCATTCATTACATACTCGTGTGGGAATAGTGAAATTCCACCTCGGGGCCAAGATTCACGGTCTAGGACTCGGCAAAGCCTCAGACTGTGAATCTTGTCCCCTCGGTGGAATTTCACTATCCCACACTCGTAGTAATGAATGATTCTATTAGTCTCTGGTAATTGTAATTTATGTCTCAGTAATTACGGAGCAGATTATTATTTTAAATAAAATAACCGTGAACCATTTATGAATTTATTTCTTGTGTTTATCTGATAAATAAATTGATATGTTAATATATTAAATTTCGTCGGACACGAAGTGTTCATAATTGTTACAACAGAAGCAAATTTACGGCTAAATCTTCCATCAGAGCATGCAGTTTTATTTCTACAAGATTTTACAATGTTATCAGTTTACTTGTTTATATTTATTTACACTTTTACCGAGTTATCGGGTACTCGATCGGAAAAAAAGTCCGCGTAATCGAACATTAAAAATTGACCGATTTGACATCCCTACATGTAGTAAATAGCTACAATTATATCCAAGTTTGGTTTTATACTAGAGTTCACAAATATGGCTATTTTAAGTGTATACGGTTTTGTCAGTGAGAGAAGTGGCTGTTTGTTAAGTGTACGTCCACGTTTTGATTGTAGTCGATTTTCCATGTCCAATTCTAGAAATTTTTCTGATAAGGGGGAAAGCCAAGGAGTCGTACATTTTACTGTTTGGGCATTTTGAGGTTTCCAGTAGGTTTTCGTACCCCAAGAAGGATTTGGGGCGTATGTTGAGGTGAGTGCACGAGCAGGTTGGTGACGTACATGTAGGACGTGGTGCGCAAAGACAGTGTATACAGAGATTAGGTGACATTTCCGACTGTATAATAAGTAAGTTAATTCTTACGTTGAGTAGTGGGGAACCTGTGAATTCAGGGCTGGAGTGTTTGAATTATATATCGATAAAATAAGTTAAATATTTTACTCAGCATACGAAAAGTATTTAAGATGTACCATTTGTTTCTACTTTATAGCAATCTATAGATAAAGTACGATCGCTATTGTTAGCTCCTTTCTTGCAGGCATCGAACATTAGTGAGATATTTCTTATGTTGTTGAAAACAGTTACTTTTATTTCACCAATGTCATATTGCTTGCTGTCGTTGTTCTTGTAATTAAAAGATGCTGTGCAATTGGAATTGCATCCATTCTTTCCTGGAAAAAAATGTTAATACAAATGAATTAATAATAGAGATGTTCTTATAAAAAAAAATAAGAATAAGTGTGATATTTTGTTTTACAACTTTGGGGTATAGTTCCTCTTGATCAAAACAATTTGGTATTTGGCCCTCCTGACGTCAACAGCACATTACAAATATTTAATATAATCAATTAATTTAAAAGATAGAACAAAAAATATGGAGTGTTTAGAATTGATCGAAGTGCGCCAATTCATATCAGTTTTTGAGTAGACATTTCCCAGCTCATTTCAAATAAATTTTGTAAAGCCAACAATTTTGCAAATTTAAACAAAGATTAACTGCCATATTACAAACATTTATTTTACTTCTGCTTGAAATGTGAGAAAGAATTCATGAATTGAAGGTTTTTTTTGCCCTTTGGGTAAAATACTTTTTTTTCGATCCCCAGCTAAGATGAAAAAATTGAAATTCTGAACTTTATGGCACACCTTCATGACGGTACAATATATCATCAGTAAACTCTCAAATTAAGATTTGGCAACTTCATACAATTTAGAGGAATTCTGAGAACAACGTTTATGTAGATAAGCGTCAATTTTGATCCCCGTTTGATTGATTAATATGTTGTTTAACGTCCCTCTTGAGAATTTTTCACTCATATGGGGACGCCACCAATTGCTGATGGAGAGCTACAAATTTTGTCCTGTACCCGGCACTCAGGGCCAATAAGCAGGGTGGGATTTTTTTCGTGCCAGCACCTACTGCGACACAGGACCTTGGGTTATATGGTCTCATCCGAAAGACCGGTCCCCACATCTCACAGTGGGATTCGTACTCGCGACGCAAGGATCGACTCCGTACTTCGCGATTCTAGATCAGACTCTCTAACAACTGCTCCACGTGGGCAATGTGAAAATGAAAGAAGATGGGAGGATAAGGCGGATGAAGTGCCTATAGTGCGACAGATATGATGTGAAAACAAATTTAATCTCGATTATATCCAAATTTTATTTGATATTTCATCTGATATAAAAGTATACTTAACGTAAAATCTCTACAATTTACAAAAAATATCACAAAGACTAAGAATATTTGCCTATGAAAAAGACTACACACAAAAAAAAAAAACCCAAAATCGATAATTTCCACATACTTTAACAAACCTTCTTCAATATGAGTGGGTCTTCGCTCCATTTCTTTGAAAGATGATCCTATATAAATGTTTGCAATAAAATATAATTTTTTTGATTTACAAAAACATGGATCAAAAACCCACTGTACCTTCAAAGTACACTTTTATCATAAATTGTTCGCATCTTTCTGAAAAATACTTCAGGTCCATTTAGTCAAGAGTCATATGACAAACATGATTTAAATGCCAACATTCATCATGAGGCATGAAGCATAGTGCTTAACGCGTTAGTCTCTAGGCAGTATTATATGTTGGATTTTTATTCATAGGGTTTGAATCCCGAGAATATCATCCAATATTTTTAATTAACATTTTTAACGAGATTTTTTTCTGACAGAAAGTTTTTTTCTCTCATCATTTCATGAATTTCAATAATACGAAGTTAATCTAAATTCAAAACTTAATTTAACATTTGCCGGGCACAAGTAGCCCTTTTTTTATATATAGAATTATATGCTTTTTTGTCAAATGTAGGAGTTGTTCCGGTAATCCGATTTAAAAAAAAAACTTTAATTTCTTTGCGTTAAAAATAGAAATTCCAAACCTGTATCGGATCTACAGGATAAGATCTATTTAATATTAGAAGGTCAATTGGTTATTTTTTATATGAAATGAAATTTTGAGGAAGGCGAGTATGGCGATAAATGGGGTATCAACAATCAATCTATAATACAGATTAGACCTTTCATCTCGCTCTTCGAAATTTCATTTGTCGTTTTACGAGCGAGAAATAAAATTACTCAGAACGATATGAAAGGTCTTATTTTAATTAGATTAAACAATAATTATACCAAAACTTTTTTGAGAAAGTGTGGGTATAGGTCAATAAAAGCAAAAGTACCAAGTGCTTTAAATTCTCAACTAAATGATATGACATAGTTCTAGAGTTTAACGAGTACATATATATTTTGAATGTTTAAAAACCAAGTGAAATGAGTGGAGAGAGAGAGAGTACATGTACATGTAATTATTTTGATGGAAAGGGAATAAATATGATAATATCATTATACCTCCAAAATTGTCTATGCTGATTTTTAAATCTTTTAACGATCTATTACAGGCGTTTCCATCCGATACATAAGTAATGACATCTCTAGGGCAGATGTTACTGCAAACATAAACAAAGTGAAATTAGACTTGGAAGTGTTCGGAAAATAGCCCCAATACGCATCTGTTTTCTTGATTTGCAAATACAATTGAGCGTTAGCAATTTTTATTCACTCCGTCAGAATGCTTGAATTTTTAAAATCAAAATTATGAAAAAAATCATCAGCTATTAATTGTTTTACCTTGTAGTTTGTGTTTTACGCCGACCTAGTGCAAAAGAGATAGTAAGCACTGCAATCTTTATCCCTTTAAAAGATAAGGATAATTTGTGAACATATAGTGTATTAACATAAACTTTATTTGTAAACAAAAATAAGGAAAAACACTAAAATCTTGCTCAAACAATGGTAAAGACAATGTTACGTCATTTGAACAAATTGTAAAATGATATATGTTATTCCACGGAATGAATTTGATGATTAGTAAGTAATTTTTTACAAAACTTAATACAGTGTATGCTTGAAATTCACAAATAAACCTTACACAACTTTACTTTATGTTGCTGATTTCATAAATGTAATTTGTGGTTTAAATATTTATATCAGTTTAAAAGTGTAAAACATGTGTTGGGAGTCTTGGGACATCCTTCATTTATTATGTCATGTAACTTTATTTAGATTAATTCATACATATTTTAAGGATTAGAGAAATTCAAAATGACAAATTTAAAGCATGCAAAGCAAGTTTGTTTTAAATCTCGGGGAAAACATCAGCAATTTTAGCACATTAATTACAACAGTATTTAAAAAAATCGATCTCTTAACAATCAAAAATGCATTTAACAATTAATATATGTGTTTCAATTAAACAGCCAAAAATTACATTAGTTTTTTGCAGAGGATATAACGTTATGTTAAATATTGTACGATATACCTTATATGTAACGGCCCTTAAAATAAATAACACTATGGTTAGCACAAGATTATTTTGAACTAGTTATAAGTATGATAATATTACGATGTGTATAGTCCCTTAAGTGCTTCACCATAGCAAATCAAAGCATTTCTATGAAAAATTGTAAACATGTACTTTTGATATATCAAGGTCAAAAAGACAAAACAAAACAAATTTAAGCTTCACAGTGTAACAAAGCATTGACTATATTTCAAAAATCAAATCATAATATTACAAGCTACAATTTGCTGAAGCTATTATCTATAATTACATGTAACTAAAACCAATAAAACTTCTAGTATACTGAACTACATGGTTACTTTACTTTTTTAAATTGATTTTTCCTCCGAGCAAAATACAATCCATTACACTTGTCAAGCATTAACGTAGACTGCTGTTACGTAGTAAAAAAAACAATTCTATAATTATATTTATTACACATTGCATTCCTTACATATGTATAACAAAGTAAACATAAATAAAAGTGCCTTACAGTGAACTTACAAAACACAGTGCGATACAACATTATCCTAGAACTTATAATGTTGTTTCATACAGATATGCCTCGTTGTGTCGTGCACATATATAATAGTTTATAAGTATTTAATGTCAATTTCTCAACGCAGTTTAAAATACTTCCTAGTCGCATCAGATAACACCAGTTACTGTAGAACACTATAGATGCAGTTTTGTACATGAAGTGTTTTAATCAATTTTAAGGAAGTGATCTTTACAGTGAGTTTCCTTCGTCGGATAGGCAGTGATACGACAGGAGACTAAAATCAGATCCCGTTTTTCTACTTTTTTATGTCTTAGTGTGTAGATGTAATGAATATTAACACGACACACGTAATTCAAACCGGCAATACCATGCCATTAAAAAAGTAATTCTCTTTAGTCCTCTTCTTGTGAAACTACCGTTCAAGGTAAATCAGTCGGTAGAGCGCGCAATTCGGAATCGAGAGGTCGTGAGTTCGAATCTCGGTCGCGACTGACCTAAGTAGATAACAAATGTATAGCTACTGTTCCTTCCCCATGCACATGGCACTTTGAAGTGAAAGTTGCGGGTCCTTCGGATGAGACCTTATAAACCAAGGCCCCGTGTCAGAGGCAGGCGTTGTTACGATAAAGATCCCTCATTGCTCAATGGTCCTGAGTGCTGAGTACAGGTGAAGGGCAGATCAATATTTTTAAACACAGGGTAAGGGTATGATTATAATGGAGGACAAAACTTTTACATATGAATATATAGGTAAAATCTTCTACTTAATTAATGTCATGAGTTGTCAAATTATTATAGAAACATCCTCAGATCAAACAAATTAGTTTAAATCTTGACCCCTAGGTGAGGTTGGGCAATTATAGACTGTCAAAAAAAAAATCTTACTACAAAAATCAACGTCATGATTGGTCGTATTTATAAGGTATAAAACAACAGAAAACAACAAATAAAGTTTAATATTTAAATGTCACTATTTCCTGAAAATTGTTTTCTCCTACAGGTCAAAGGGAATACATCCTTACTGTATTTTCAATTTTAATGAGGAACCGGATTACACATGAAAATGCTGGTAAAGCATTACAATTACTTTGTCCTCTCCAATCGTATTATTGGAATCATTGCAACAAAATTGGATCCACACTAGATGACAAATAATTGTTTTATCTATCCCTTAGAAGTGTCACGTGCAACGCGGCCGAGCTTGGTGTTTGGTGATATGTCTTGTATCACCGAGGCGTTACACTTAGGTTCGTTAACCTGTTAACTCAGATTTGTGTTGACCAAATAAAATTACAATCAAATATATACAAATACAATAAAATAATACAATGGATCTCTTCTTGATTGGACAACCACTAACTGTGGTCAAGTGTAAGTATCTCCCGCAAATGAATTTCTTCTTGTCTTGCCGCTACGATTGTACAAGTTTCCTGCACTTCCCCCACCTTTCTCTGTGGTATGCCACCTCTCTCAATGTATAACCAAGTGACTGCCTTATTCAGGTCTTATGTTATGGCTATCGTAAATCCTCAGCTATGTGCCCTCCTCAACTGTATACCTTATTCAGGTCTTACTACAATGTATAAGACGACACACAGCTTTAATTTGTAGCTAACACCGTCTCCAGAGAGGCTTCAATACACTTATACAGCGTGTATTACTTCAGAGCAGTCCCTGTACATTGGCAGATTCATACTACTTGTATGATCGTAAAATTAATACTTTTTAGTGTTTAAGAAGTTGAAAGATAACGTAGGTCTAACGTTTGTACGAAACTAACCAACAACCATTTCCGTTTCACTACCCTCCCCTCAATATCATATGCGTCCTGCATATGATTAACTATTTACAATATTTACATCTATATACATTTCTGCAATGCCCGATAACTTGTGGCTCTCTAATACAAGACGTAGTCTTCCATCCGTGGTTTTCTCCTGCGTCTAACAGGGATGTCGTCTCCATCAAATTGGTTATTTGACTCTTGTTCTTCCTCTGCTTCATCACCTAGAGGTTCAGGCTCGTCCTCTCATCATCAGGTATCTCACCTTGCAAAATTTGACGGTACTAGTACCTACGACGCATCCTGTCGACATGTATCACTTGTGGTTTTCCAGCACGCCCGCAGTCAACCTTGTAGGTAAGATCTGTTATCTTTGATAGCATCTTGTAATGACCCCGCCAGTAACTGGTAAATTTTTGGCGAGCGACCTGCCTTCCTAATTGGAAAGAATACATAGACTTGGCAACCTGGCTCAAATTTCTGCCATGACAACTTTTGGTCGTGATACTTCTTTTGTCTAATCATGGCTGTTTTTATGTTCTCTCTGACATGGTTATGTGCACTTTCCTTGGTTTCTTTTAATTCCCAGGCCCATTTGTATGTTTGAATGTTCTGCACTGATCTGGGCATCTAGAACACGATGTCAAGCGGTGTTGACACTTCTCTTCCCAGTATCAGGTAATTGGGATTGTAGCCAGTTGTCTCATGAACGGAAGCCCTGTAAGTCATCATTACAAATGGTAGGTTTTTGTCCCAATCTGAAAGATGGTCGTTCACGTAAGCGCTTAGAATTGTCACTAGCGTCTTGTTAAAACGCTCTACCATTCCATCACTTTGTGGATGGTAGGGTCTAGTCCGTGTTTTCTTAATTTGGAGAACCTGGCACATCTCTTCAAATAGCGCACTCTCATATTGGGTTAAGGCTTCTCAACAAGTTAAATATCTTGGTCTGTACATTGATTCCAAATTATGTGGTGAAAATATTGTATCTTCTCTTGTTCAAAAGGTGAACTGTAGATTAAAATTTTTGTATAGACAAGCAAGATTTTTGGATCAAAAGAGCAAATTCTCATTATGTACAGCACTTATCCTCTGTCACTTAGATTATTCATGTAGCTCTTAGTACTCTGGACTGTCAAAAGCTATGAAACGTAAATTACAAATTTGCCAAAATAAGGTCATTCGATTTATGTTGGATTTATCCCCGATGCATTCCATCAATTATAGTATTTTTGAGTCTATTAATATGTTGAATGTGGACAGGAGAGTGAAGCAGATGAGACTGAATCATGTTTTTAATATTGTTCATAAGAAAGCTCCTGTTTATCTTGAAACAAATTTTACAAGTTTAAGTAATAATTACATGTACTCTAATACTAGATCCTTAAATAGCCACAACTTTAAATTGCCATCGATTAGACATTGCCAAGATCAGACTTTTTATTACAATGCCATCAAAGATTGGAATGACTTGCCACTTTTTATTAAGAATTTAGAATGTAAAGAAACTTTTAAGAATTGTGTAAAAAAGCATCTAATGGAGGATTTTAAAAGCTGTGAAGAGAGTTCGTTTATATATTTCTGATTTTTAACATCTATGAATGTATTGTTTTATTTTAAATGCTTTGTGTAATTTATTTTCAAATTTGATACAGGGTTTTTTAATACCTGTCCTATCTGAATGAGGTGCCTTGATTAATGTATCTGCCAAAATCTTGCCTACATTCTCGTATTTAATTTTGTTGTTTAGTTAGTTTTTTGTTTTATCTATTCACTTATTTATTTATAAAAAGGACCCCATTGGAAATAAGCAATTTTGCTTTCATGGGTTATAGGTTTATTAATTAATGTCATGATATCACGATGATTATAATGCATATATTTTTTTTCATAAAATTTAGAAATGTCATAAATTGCTTTATATTTTAAAAACATTCGGAAAAGGACACCTGTATTTAGAATTTTATATTTATTTTTGAAATTTTATTACTGTGATTAGGTTTTTCATTTTATGCATTATTTATATTTGTACCACCCTGTATCATACATTGATTTTGTTACCTGATTAAATCTACTACTACTATATTGTCGACCTTGGTCGGAGTGAATTACTGATGGCACGCCGAACCGGGCAATTACTTCTTCAACAATTAGTTTTACAATTGTCTTGGCTTCCATGTTCGGCATTGGAAAAGACTCGGTGCATTAGATACCAACAATATGCATTTATTATTATCCTCTGTCATTGGTAGTTCTCCCAGTATGTCAGTGGCAATCCAGTCCATGGGTAAACCACTCTCAACCAATTCCATCGGTGCTCTTCTCTTCATTTGAGGACCCTTCCTTTTACAACATTTTTCACAACCTGCTATGTACATTCTGGTATCTGCTTGTAAACCAGGCCAATAGAACTTATTTGAGCTAGTGTCTTGCTCACACCAAGATGTGCAGCTGTCCTCACATCTTGACAGAACTTGAATATTGTCCGTCGTTGGCTATTAGGTACAATAGCCTGCAGGCGTATGGTCTTTCCATCTTCCTCTTCAAAACTTCTATACAGAATGTCATTTTCTATATAGAGATTGTTCCATTGTGACCACAAAGAACGTAATACGTATCCTTGGCCACTGGCTATACTGTACCCAGGTCTTGTCTTTTCTTTGACCCATCGTTTGACAAGGGATATGTCTTTGTCTTTGTCTTGAATGTCTTTCATAGACAACAATGGATTATCATCATCGTCCCTTCAATCACTGGCCTGTGATATGGCTCTTACTTCGTCCGGCCTGTTACACTGCAAACTTTTCTCCCAGTTTGGATCAAAACCACGCTGGCGACATGGCACACGACTCAATGCATCTGCATTGCTGTGTTGTGTACCTGGTCGGTGTTGAATCTCGAAATCGTATGTACTGAGGATTTCCAACCACCGTGCCAACTGTCCTTCAGGATTCTTAAATTTGAAAAGCCACCTTAAGGAGCTCTGGTCTGTGCGGACTATGAACTTTTTACCATAGAGATAATGTCTAAAGTGTTTGACAAAGTGGACAACCGCAAGCAATTCCTTTCGTGTAACACAATACTGTAAACCTACTATTATTCGTGTCATCTTTTATTCGCGATTTGTCAGCTTAAAATCAATCCGCAACGACTAATTTCCGCGACCAAAGAAACATTCCCTACAAATCTTTAGCAAATTGAATGGTTCGCAGTGATTAATATTCGCGAGTAAAAAGAAGTCGCGGAACTCGCGGATATTTCTCGCACGCGAATAAAAGTTGGTTTACAGTACCTGCGCTCACACTTTTTCAACGTCCAACTTGCATAAGCAACAACCCTTTCTTGACCATCAATCTTTTGTGATAGGACTGCGCCTATAGACATATTGCTGGCATCAGTGTCTAAAATGAAGGGA